AAAATGAGAAATCATCCCCAAGGCAATGGCCACACCGTAATCCCCTTTTCTCCAGTCTCTTGGGGATTCTGAGCACTCACACACATCCATCCAGCATGATTTTCAAGCCTCCAGGTCTCAGACTCGAACTGCTCAATTGGCCATGTGGGATCCAGTGCTTTAACCTCCTCTCCACCTGCTTGCTGTTCCCACTTGTGGACATTTTAATATCATTAAAAAAAAAGTTTTAAGAGACCAGCAGATGGCATAATGATTACATTGTTGGACTCCCGCGTAGTCAACTGTGGTTTGAGTCTCGGACCCAGTGGTTTAAGACTCAACACTGGGCTTGTGTGCATGCATGCCCAAAATCCTCAGAGGGGAATGGAGAAGAATGGATTACGGCATGGCCATCCCCACTGGGGGGTGATTTCATTTTCTGGCTGTCTCTCTGTCTCTTCACCATGTGCACACACCCTATAGCAAAAACAAAACAAAACAAAACAAAACAAAACAAAACAAAAAACAAAAACCCTCTCTTAAAAAAAGTCTTTAAGTCCAAACCCATATTGGCATCTATTATTTGAACAGTACAAGCAAAATAGAGATTTAAAACAGAAAAGTCTTTTTTTTGACTAGATAACTGTAGACAAACATCCCTGACCTAGTTATTAAATTAAAGACAGAAACACTATAACAAAACTAATAATTCTCATAAAGCCACTGCTGAGCCCCATATGCATACATGTGAAGATGGTCATCCACACTTCACAGCTCCAACCTCAAATGAGGGCGAGACTCCTGTGTGTTCATGGCCAAGGCCCCTCATCTGATTCTTCTTCCAGACCTGACTGTGTAATGCTGGGCAGTGTGGGACGAGAACTGGAATCAGACCCCTGGTCCATCTAAGAGCCTCTCCTCCTTAGGAGACCACTCAGTGGCCAGTCACTGTCACTTGGACTCCCCAAGGGCAGCTATCTCAATCCAAGTCAAGAAGTTCAAAGCATTCCTTCGTGTCAGAGGCGCCAGACACTAGACACAGCTTCCTTTCGCCCACTGCACTTCCCATGGTGTTTTACCGGAAACTTGGGTAGGGGTTATGGGATATGGTAGGCAAGGAAACAGCTCAATGGTTAAGAAAAACTGACACACAACACACACACACACACATTTGCTATCCCAGGACAGTCATGAAAAATCCCTGAAATTACAACTCAGTCTTCAGATGATGGTCCAGATGTGGACTAGGATCCTCTCACCTCCATGATGTTCGGAAAAGGATAATCAGAACTGAGACCTGGCAGGAGCTCAAGTGTGCCTTGAGATTTTTCTCTCCTTTCCTCTTTTCTCCTATGCTTAGTTCTCCTACTAAGTTTACACACGTTCTCAAGTTGATCTGCCATCAGCCGCCAAATTGAAACGATGAATTAATTAGATCTCATGAATTAATACTAATTAATAGTTTCCTGTGTTGCTCCTCCCAAGAGTAAATGCATTTTAAAATTTCTTTGCATAAAGAGAGACATGCTTACCCCAAAGGAGAGCACAATGTGAACAAGCACAGCTCGGAGAAGGGGCTGCTTCTGTTTCATAATTCACAAAATAAGAGAGTAGACTAGGTGAAAGCCTTTACAACTCAAACAGCTTATTATTCTTCAAAATATTCTGTCTTAGCCAAAGGTAAGAAGTGTGGTACTCGGGACCAGCAGTTGGTGTAATGGCTATGTCACTGGACTCCCACAAGTATACCGTGGTTCATGTCCCGGACCTGGTGGCTTAAACTCACACTGGGAGCATGTGTGTGTGTGTGTGTGCATGCCCAAGATCCTGAGAGGAGGATGGACGAAAAGGGAATGTGGCATGTCCATTCTCCCTGGGGGGTGATCTCTCACTCTCTGTCTCTCTCTCATCAGGACTTCACTAAACACTCAACATAATCATAGAGATGTTTGGTGTCAAGACAGGGGGATAGAGGCCTTTCTTATCCCTTCTTCTTTCCAAAAGTACCACCCTAAAGAAAGAGGACAAAAAACAACAAGAATTTCATCTTCCATTAAGCCAGGAGACATTTGTGACCCCAAGTCACAATTTATAAACATGAAAAGGAGGGGAGTTGAAAGAATACTTAATCGTTTAGTGGAGAGAAAGAAGTTCCAACTAGGTGACTATAATAGGAAGCAAATTTATTCACCCTGCTCAATGCTAGAGAAGGACCAGAAATTGAAGGCCAAATAACTTCCAGAAAGCAGGCATGAAGTTGGAGCCTGAACTAAGGGAACTGGCTGAAAGTTTTTATAAAGAGTAGATTGAGGGACCAGTAGATGTTGTAATGATTATGTCCCTGGACTCCCACATAGTCGACTGCAGTTCAAGTCTTGGACCTGGTGACTTAAAACTCATGCTGGATGTGTGTGCATGCATGCCCAAAATCCCAAGAGGAGAATGGAGAAGGGATTGTGGCATGGCTATCCTCCCTGGAGGGTGATTTCTCACTTTCTATTTTTCTGTCTCTCAAGCAAGTGCACGTACCCTTTAGCAAAAATCTCTCTTAAAAAAAAAAAATAGTGCATGTGCCCTTTAACAAAAATCTCTCTTAAAAAAAAAAAAAAGTAGATAAAAACCCTCCTACACCCCCTTAACTGATATGGTCAAGTGACAGCCCTCCTGCACCATCGTAAGAGAAATAGGATACTGAATCTCTGGAGACATAGAAACAGATGGTCCTAATGTGAGAAGACCAGGCCTGGTACAGGGAAGGAACTAGAAGTGGGGGAGCCCTTGTTCTACAACAACAGCAGCACCAGGTTTATTATTTCCCAATTACTTCCCCCATGGGAAATATTTTTTTAAAAAAAATTGCAGTTCTGAAATAAGATACTACAAAAAGGGATCCTCATGAGACAAAAAGAGCTTTTAGAAGTTCATGCCCAAAATCCCAAGAGGAGAATGGAGAAGGGATTGTGGCATGGCTATCCTCCCTGGAGGGTGATTTCTCACTTTCTATTTTTCTGTCTCTCAAGCAAGTGCACGTACCCTTTAGCAAAAATCTCTCTTAAAAAAAAAAAATAGTGCATGTGCCCTTTAACAAAAATCTCTCTTAAAAAAAAAAAAAAGTAGATAAAAACCCTCCTACACCCCCTTAACTGATATGGTCAAGTGACAGCCCTCCTGCACCATCGTAAGAGAAATAGGATACTGAATCTCTGGAGACATAGAAACAGATGGTCCTAATGTGAGAAGACCAGGCCTGGTACAGGGAAGGAACTAGAAGTGGGGGAGCCCTTGTTCTACAACAACAGCAGCACCAGGTTTATTATTTCCCAATTACTTCCCCCATGGGAAATATTTTTTTAAAAAAAATTGCAGTTCTGAAATAAGATACTACAAAAAGGGATCCTCATGAGACAAAAAGAGCTTTTAGAAGTAAAAATACAATAGGTATAATGAAAAAAAAAAAAGTGAGCCAAAGAGTTGAGAGATAGAGTCAAAGAAATATCTCAGAAATAACACAAAAAGCAGGCATTGGAAAACAGAAGAGAAGAGATACAAAAACCAAGGGGTCAGTCCAGGAAGTCCAACATCCAACTAATAGGAATTCCAGAAAGAGAGAAGAATGAAACGAGTGGTTAGCAAATAATACAAGAAAACTTCCCAGAACTAAACGATCAAATCTCCAGACTGAAAGGGCTCATGGAGTGTCCAACTGAAGTAATGATAAAAAAGACCCGCACTAAGGCACGTTTTCAGAACAGCACTTATGAAGAGACCATTCTGAAAACGTCCTAAAGAAAACAATGTGGAAAGACCACATACAAAGGAAGTCAGAAGGTTCTAGAAGGATATCTTCAGGAAAACACACACTGAGAGACTGTAGAAGATTTAGCTAAAGAAATGAGGAGAAAATATGACAGATATTTATGTCCAGAAAAACAAGCAGTAGAAAAAAAAGTAGTTATTTTATTCTATGTGGTTTAGCTGTGAATGATGTTTCTTAAACCCACAGCCAAACTAAGCCAAAACTGGAACTTTCGCATAAGACAGTTCCACAGAAACTATCACTAAATATGATAAAGATACTAAATAATCTGGGTTAAGAGGCACTGAGTACCCATCTTCAGTCCCCCTGTCATATAGACCTGAGCATTAGGAACTCTATAATTGATTTGCCGGGTAACCTTTAGAAAATTATGTCTCTGTGTACCAAGTTCCTCATTTGCCAAATGACGACAGTGATAAAACCTGCTTTAAAAAGGCGTGATTCAAGTTAACGAGTATAAATGACAGCGTGAAGTATTATGTAAACACAAATTACGGCTTTTATTAATGACTAATTTTTGGCAGCACTTCCTCTGCAGAAAAACTAAACAGAATTCTCTTTGTAGATGTCTTCCTCTGATAGAGGTAGTATTGCTAGACGCCTAATGATTTTGTGCACCTATGTCGATACCTACAAGAATTGATTCTTCTTCCTAAAAGTGGTTTCCTAAGTTTTCCTCTTGATTTCTTGAGTTTGTGCCAAGTATGTGCCTGCTCTTCCCTCTTCTTAACATTTATCTACGCAGCCTTGCCAGAGTACCACCCTATTTCTCTTTTTCTGTGTCCTTTGCTTACCACTCTTTCACCCTGCCTCTAAATAAAAAAATACAGGGCTGGCAGGTAGTGTGGTGGTTAAGGCACTGGACTCCCACATGACGGAACCTGGTTCAAGTCCTGGACCTGGAGGCTTGCTTTCTCAGTTTCTCTCTCTGTGTCACTCTCTGTAGAGTACACATGCCCTATAGCAAATTAAAATAATAATGATAATAAATAAAATCCTAAATAAATAGTTCTTTAAAAAAAATAAGGTTCCCATAGAACTAACTTAGGCTCTCTTTATTTCTCTCTTCACACTCCTTCTTTGGGTAATCGCATATACTCGTACAACTTGGTCACAATTCCCATCAGACAACAGACTGTCAAATTCTCCCTAAACTCTCAGCTTACAATTCCATCTTCCTATTTGCAGCCTCTATCAGACTTACCTGAAAAAGCAGGTAGATCTTTCTCTTGGCTCTTTTCCTTTCATAATGAAATCAACAACCTCAGTTATTTAGGTCAACCTCACCAAGTCATCTCTGATTCTGCTTTCTCTTTAAACCCTTCATGGGTAGCGAGTTGCAAAATCCCATAAATTCTATTTGTGTACTTTCTCTTTCAATCACTCCCCATTCTCCCTAGGGACATGCTGCTATTGCAGATCTTAATCTCAGTACAGCTATCCCGGCTTCCTGATTTGTCTCCTCACAAAAAAAACAGTTCAACCCATCCTGCTCTTAGGGTAGCTTGGATAGAATTGGTGTGACTTCAGAACCATCGAGGGGTCCCTACTCCTCATCCTGGCATGCAAGATCTTCCACATTAACACACCACACTAACCCCGTCAAGCCACTGTTCCCTTTCACATCCTTTATGTTCCTATCAAACTCAGCTAATACTCCCTAGACATGCTGGAATTTCAGGAGGGAGAGAAGACTCTACTTCTTGTGGATAGAATTGGTGTGACTTCAGAACCATCGAGGGGTCCCTACTCCTCATCCTGGCATGCAAGATCTTCCACATTAACACACCACACTAACCCCGTCAAGCCACTGTTCCCTTTCACATCCTTTATGTTCCTATCAAACTCAGCTAATACTCCCTAGACATGCTGGAATTTCAGGAGGGAGAGAAGACTCTACTTCGTATCCTATCTAACCTTCAAGGCCTGGAAAGTTTTCTTTGATTTCTCCACACCCTACTGTTGTCCTTCTCTCTGCACTGGACCCTTCGTAGCTTTGTATTTTTAAAAAATGGCTTTTCTTTTACGCTAGCTTCTAGCATGCCCAGTCTCATTCCTACCTCTGTCTCATGGTACTGTAAACTTGAGTGCAGGGAAATTGTCATATTCATCTGTGTCTTACTCTTTGAATACCTCCCCCCCAGCCCTGGGCTGCCAGTTTGCACATGCATATCGAGGGACGTCTTTGAATTGAAATTTGTGAGAAGGCCTTTCTTGGAGTTCATCTGATATATCTAATAGCTGAAAAAATTAAAGAATGAGGACACTTTCTGACGACATTATTACTTGGTCTTAGCTTTGCAAACAATTGAGATGAAGGAAGTCTTGATTTGAATCAATGGTTGAATCAAGAGTTTTATAAAGGATAAGAAAAATCTTGCTAATAGATAATAGATGACACTGTTCCTCCCAAGGCAGTCTTTAAAATTCCCAGATGGAACAGTAGAGCACAGAGCAGTGAAATAAGCAACGGGATTACCCTGAGGACTTTTTGGGGGGTTAAAGTAGGATTCTATCCTCAGCAATCTACTGAATTTTAAATCCAGCTCTGCAATCCTGACTACTGACAATGCCCCTGGGGCTTTGACAGACTGGGTACTACACTTCTCTGAGTCCACCCTAGAGCGGTCAGTTCATTATTTACAGTGATAAGGGCTGTTTGTTAAACGTGGCCATATTCTACTCAAGGATGGAGTGAAGAGCCAGGCTCTGCTACGGATTCCAAACTAGTCTCTGATGTTACCAAGTGACAGGCCTCAAATAAACACCAAGAGCGAGCCACTCCACCTCCAGAAGAAACATTTATTATTGTCTCTCTCCTTAAAATGACCGAGTTGTCTTCTCCACCTGCACCCCACACACTATCACATTTTACTTGTTGACTTACACAAAGTCAGCACAGAGATGGGAAAGAGGGTCTGTCAGCTGTGACCCAGCAAGCGGACATAGAAGCACCCCAGGGCTTTGTGTCAGGGACCTCAAACTTCCAAACTCCAACTGAGGAATCTCTGCTGGCTCTACTTTCTCAGATAAGAGTGTTCAGGTGCCCCATGTAGTCTGGATTCAAGGTAATAGGAAAGCAGATTGTAAAAGAATTAAGTAACTGAGATAGGATATAAAAATCAATTTGGCCAAAGAAAAAACCAACAATATCTTAAAAGCTTTGGGAGGAGGGAAGGGAGCCAGCAGCTTTAATCCCAGAGGATGAACCTTTGCTCCATTTCCTGGGCTGCCTCCACTCCAGGCTAATCTTTAGCAGTAACTGAACCACATCGGGACGCGTCGCTCATTTTAAATCAGAACCTTTCCCCGAGGATCTCCCAGCCCTTGATGTCTGTTTCTGTTTCTAACGGGCAAGCCCAGCCGGCCAGGCCCCGCCGAGCAGTTGTCCAGGGCCTTGCACCAGGTTGCCTGGGCTCCTGGGCAGCACAAGGGGGGAGGGAGGGGGAGACACTGCAGAATCTGGTCCCCACCAGAGAGAGTCACTTCCCTCTGCTAGTGCCATCCGTCCCCCTGTGACCCCAAGTTCTCTACCTAGGTCTGTAATATTCTGAATATTCTTCCTGAAAAAGCCCTCCCTGCAGCACGCCCAAGGCAGTCAGTCACAGGGGAAACGCGGGGAACCTCACCCTGTAAATGATCACCCTCTATCTTCTCTGCGTCCTGAGCTGGCCAAAGGCTAACTTCAAGACTAGAAATTAAGAAAAGTTGCTCATTCACACTAGAGCGCCGCCAACCCCTCTTCGGGGAAGCAGCTGCCACTCACCCTGCATGCCTGGGAACCAAGCAAAGTTACCACTGAGCCGGCTCCCACGGCCGCCCCGCGCCCTCTCCCTCCCCCGGGCCCCGCCGGGCTGCCGGTCTAGTTTTACCCCAAATTACGAGTGATCCCAGGGAGAGGAACGGCTAGGCACACCTTCACCCCGTAACCCGCTTCTCCTCTCCCTACTCCCCACTTCTCAGCTCCCGCTCCGAAAGCCAGGAGCGTCGGAGGGGACCCACGTTCCCAGGGTGTCTTCACGCTGGGAAACCCGGGAGAAGATCGGGGTTCAAGCGCGTGCCTGGGTCCGCGTACATCTTCCCGCTCCCTGGCCTCCCCCCACGAGCTTGGAGACCTGGGACTCTGTTTCCCGACGGGTCCCCAGCGCGTCCTCGGCCCTGGGAGAGGGAGTGACTGGGGTGCGTGTCTGGGGTGCGTGTGGGTCTGCGGGGCTGCCCGGTGCGCTGGAGTCTGGCAGAGACCCCGCCACGCCCTGGGTGCCCCCTCGCCTCCTCTTAGCAGCAGCGACAGGGCGAGCCCCCGGCCGAGGTCTGTGGGCTCGAAGTCTCTCGGAATCGAACTGCCGGCCGTGCAGTGTGCGGTTCGGGTCCCGGG